GCACCAGACGCGAGAAACACAAAGGGCAGGAATACGGCGAGCGCTGAAGAAGCAGCAGCAGCAGCAGCAGCAGCAGCAGCAGCAGCAGGAGCTCAGCAGCTCAGCAGCAGCAACAGGACCGGTACCAGCACCAGCAGCAGCAACAACAGTGCCAGCGACAGCAATAGCAGCTGCACCAACAGCAGCAACAGAAATACCAGCGGCAGCAACAGCAGAAGCACCAGAAGCAGCAGCAGCAGCAGCAGCAGCAGCAGCAGCAGCAGCAGCTTTCGGCGTGCCTCGTGGATAAGCTGCGGCTCTCTGAAAGCCAAGGTGCAACAGCAGCAGCAGCAGCAGCAGCACCGGGGGGCACCCGCACTGCGTGGGGCCCCATTTGTGTCCTCAGCTCAAACAGCTGCAAGTCCGAGAGGCCTCCTACCTGCAGCAGCAGCAGCAGCAGCAGCAGCAGCAGCAAGAGCAGCAGCCCGCAGCGCTGCTAGAGGCAGGTGATAAACGGGCGCTCAAATCCGCAGCAGCAAGACATAGGAGGCACCATGCAGCAGCAGCATTTGCTGCTGCTGCTCTTGCTGCAACAGCAGCTGCTGCTGCTGTTGCAGCAAGAGCACCTAGAGCAGCAGCACCAGCAGCACCAGCACCAGCAGCAGCAGCAGCATCAGCAGCAGCAGCAGCAGCAGCAGCAGCAGCAACTAACCCTGCAGACGGAGAGGACTTTGTTTTGGTCTGTGGGGTTTAAAACCCCCAGCAGCAAATGAGTGCAGTGAGCCAGAGGGTCTCTGGAGTCCTGAGGTGTACATACACCACAGCGCTGCAGCAGCACTTGAAGCTTCTGCAGCTTTTGCCTCTTCCCCTGCTGCGCTTCAGCAGAAGCAGCAGCAGCAGCAGCAGCAGCTGCTGCTGCTGCTGCTGTTGCTGGTACTACTGGTGCTGCTGGTGCTGCTGGCACTGTTGTTGTTGTGGCTGCGGCTGCTGCTGCTGCTGCTGCTGCTGCTGCTGCTGCTGCTGCTCTTTTTGCAGCATTTCTCGAGTGACCTTCTGCTGCAGCAGCCCTCAAGAGAGGAAAAGCGAAGGCCCTTTTGCTGCTGCTGCCGGTGCCCAGTAGTTTCTTTGCTGCGCTGCTCTGTCCTGCGGGTTTAGGGTTTAGGGTTTAGGGTTTAGGGCTTTAGGTTTGCGTGGTCACCCTCCTTTCTACTAACTGCTAAAACTGACTCACGAGGGTTTAGGGTTTAGGGTTTAGGGTTTAGGACTAGAGGCTGGTGCTGCTACTTCCCGTTTCCAGCAGATTGCAGGCGACAAGCTGCCCTGCTTACGGTTTAGGGTTTAGGCTTTAGGGTTTAGGGTTTAGGGTTTAGGGTTTAGGGTTTAGGGTTTAGGGTTTGTGGCCCACCACCTGCCGCCTTGCTGAAGTAGAAGAAAAAAAAGCCCCAATTGCTATTAAGTCTAAAGTGTCTCCGATTTGGCCCAGCTGCGGCTTCAGCTTGTGCCACCCGCTGTTGCTGCAGCAGCAGCAGCAGCAGCAGCAGCAGCAGCAGCAGCCATTTGCAGCAGCAGCCACTTGCAGCAGCAGCAGCAGCACTCACTTGCAGCAGCAGCAGCAGCAACGTAGGCGGCGGAAAACGCGCACCATACCATCACCATCATCAACGCAGTCAGGATCACCACCAGCAGCACAATCAGCAGCAGCAGCAGCAGCAGCAGCAGCAGCAGCAGCAGTGCCAGCAGCAGCAGCAGCAGCAGCAGCAGCAGCAGCAGCAGCAGCAGCAGCAGCAGCAGCAGCAGCAGGGGGCAACTTGCCGCGAGTCGAGTCTATAGAAGGAAAGCGGCTCTTTGAGGACAAGTCCTTCGCTGCCTTTGCTGCACTCTTGCTGCAGCATTTTTCTAATCTGAAAAAACATGCAGCAGCAAATAGATGCAGCAGCAGCAAAGAGATACAACAGCAAATAGATGCAGCAGCAGCAAATAGATGCAGCAGCAAAGCTGCAAATAGAATCAGCAACAAATGGATTTAGCAACAAATCGATTCAGCAGCAAATGCAGCAACAGCAACGCAGCAGCAGCAGCAATAGCAGCAGCAACAGCAGCAGCAGCAGCAGCAGCAGCACCTGCGTAGGGTTTTCAGCAATCATGAAGTCGCATATTTGCAGTCGAGGCGGCTTGGGGAGCAGCACTTCGCGCAGCAGACGCCTGAGCAGCAGCAGCAGCAGCAGCAGCAGCAAAAGCAGCAGCAGCAGCAGCAGCAGCTGCTGCTGCTGCTGCTGCACATGCAGATGCACCAGCAGCACCAGCACTTGCAGTAGCACTAGCAGTAGCAGCAGTACCACCAAAAGCTGTAAGACCAGCAGCAGCAGCAGCAGCAGCAGCAGCAGCAGCAACCCAGCAGCAGCAGCTGCAGCAGGCCCCTTTTTATTTATCTGGAGACACTAAACACTCCCCTGCTGCTGCTGTTGCTGCTGTTGCTGCTGCTGCAGTCCTCAAAGGGTGCTGCGCTGCACTTGTCGTTTTT